ATTGCCGAGGGTACCGGTAGTTTAGTGGGGCCCTAGCACAAAAAGGCGAAAATCCCATCTAGCGAATGGTCTTTTGTCGAATGCTGGATATCAATAAGCGCAATGGAGAACTGGAAAATGGCGACGTTGGAAAAAGTCAACCTGCCAAGTTGACGAACGGCTAAATGGCGAGCTGCAAAATAGCGGCCTAGCAAGACATTGACACGTCATATTGGCGAACGGCAGAATGGCGAAATACAAAAGGGTCACATTTGAATTTGGTACTGGCGAATGGTGACTTGAAAAATGAGAACATGCAAAAATGCTGGATGACTGGCTGGATGTTGTGTGCTGCATATCTATTGTATACCATTAAAAAAAAAACTTTTGTTAGGGAGCACCACTCTGCTGGCGATACGAGAACATAAAAAGTAAAGAAATAAATAACTGATAAGACAAGTAGGCTCTACAATCAGACAGGTGCTAATGAATGACAGGCATCAGCTTTACACGTCAACTAATGGCTCTTACGGCAGAAGGAAAATAACGGGACCGCTTTTCGGCAGAGTCGTGCTGAAAAAAACCGTCATACAAGATCAAACAGGGACGGAGGTATGGTTTTGTAACATTGCTGTAGGAGGCGGTGACAAATTATGAAACTACCAACAATCTGACAGCAGCCAGGGTTTTCCCCAGATTTGGCTTCCGTTTCTCCCAAAGTTGGGAGGGGGGGGGGGGGCTTGTGTCCATGTGGGAGAGGGGAGGCCGAATCCCCCACAACTTAATATAGAACTAAACGTCTCTACATATATGTTTAATTCCATGTCATCATCGACAGGTTGCAGCCTTCACGCTTACCACATTAGCCAGGTGGCAGATTTTTCAAAACGCTTGGCTTTTTTCCATGACACCATTTCGGTTTCACCATTTTAGCATGTGGCCATTTTCCCATGCCGTCGTTCATTCAAACAAGATACTTAAAGGGACTGTTCCACATTTGAATGGGGTTTTCAACTGAAACAGCATTTCCAAGATAATAATTTTCACACTTATGCCCGTATTAAAACTTGTAATCCTCTCTTTTTTGAGCTAGGAGTACGCGAAGTCGTGCAGACTGTTTCGCGCCGCCCATTTCCAGATCATTTAGGTATGACGCGATAAAAACTCCATACAGATTCCACGTCCTCAGTAACCACATAGTGTTCAAGGTCAATAAGAATGTGACCAGTGACTTTTTTGCGTCTGAAGCACGTCAGCGTGGATCGTTGCCATAACGAACAACGATTTTCGCCAACGCGCAGCATTTAATGAACGTTTTGAGCACGGATTTGTGGCATGTCGTCATTCTTTCGTGCTGCCGTTTTGCAATTCACCTTTTAGCCGATTTGACTTTGGCACGTGAACTTTTTGACATGTCACTAATATAAAAGTTGTCATATGACAGCCGACAATAAGCACTCGGCAAACTGCAAGTTCACTATTTTTCCGAACACCGTAAATACCGAGGCCGTCAAAAAACATTTTTTTGGGAGATTTAAGATGCGTGTATGCGAGCTTACGTCGTCAAGATGTGAACAAAACATCAGTCGCTCTGTCCTCTGTTCCCCGCAGAAGGAAGGGAACGGGAACAGTTGGTCAGTAAACAGAATCATAGGCAATTGACGCAGCTGTCATAAATGATTGAACAGGAATTACCCATTTCATGAAGCCTCGAAGAACCTCGTATTCTTGTTGTTCCCACTTGAGCTTAACGTTTTTCATTTCGTCATTTGGCTTTTTGCCGCTCTAGCATGTCGTCATTATATCTTGTCACCATGTGTTCAAACATGGCACGCAAGCACTTCAACATTTCAATGCTCGTCGGTTTTGCAAATCAACCTTTTTACGTGTCACCATTTTACAATTCGCCATTTAACCATTCGTCATTTCGGCATGTCAACTTGCTGGTATATCGCCATTTTGCAGTTCGTCATTTCGCAGTTCGCCACTTCAGCATGCCGCCACATTCCTCCATGCCGCCATTTTGCAGTTCGCCATTTTGCCGATTCAACTTTTCGGCATATCGACCTTTTACATGTCGCCAATATGAAAGTCGGCATATGACAGTCGACAACAAGATATTCGGCAAACTGCGAGTCGACTTGTCCGGACACCGTTTGGTGGTTAAGCCGCGCATCGGACAAACGAGACGTACGGAGTTTGATGCCCCGCGGTGCCCGCCCCTCCTGCCAGGGTAGGGGGCAGTCGACGCCATATGGCCTCAACAGCTGAGTGCGTCGTAAAACCCTGATGGCACACGGTTTCATCGCTGAAGGTTCAGCAATAAAAACTCATAGACCTATCATTAACCCTCGCTCTTTGAGGAAAGCCTCAGAGGCCCTTCAAGGTGTTTCTGGAATAACTTCTGAGTTGACTTGAGCAGGTGCAGAATTTTTTGATACCTAGGACAACATCATTTTACCACATTTTTTGCACCCGATCGAATATTTTCCAACATGTTTCAAATGCTGCTATACAATGTCGTACAGGCGACTGGCAGAAAATTCCACGAAGCAACTGCCTTCCACGCGGGGCATTATTATGGTGATCTTCAGACGAAACGCTCTGGGTGCACCGACTTGCTTTGATTGTTCCGTTATTGGTGGCCCCCGTCAGTCGACCGGAGACCTCTTCGAGCCAACTGCCCTGCACGCGGGGCATTATTATGGTGATCTTCAGACGAAACGCTCTGGGTGCACCGACTTGCTTGATTGTTCCGTTATTGGTGGCCCCGTCAGTCGACCTGGAGACCTCTTCGAGCCAACTGCCCTGCACGCGGGGCATTATTATGATGATCTGCAGACGAAACGCTCTGGGTGCACCGACTTGCATGATTGTTCCGTTATTGGTGGCTCCCGTCCGTCGACAAGACAAGACAAGTTCGTGCGTCCTGCCCAGGTGCTTCTACACGCTAAGGCGAGGACGAGTTTGAGCAAGTCTGCGCACATTTTCTGCTTCGCGGCTCAACTGCGGTGACGTCACCACGAATCCCTCCATTCCGCAATGCTACAGCTTTGTTTTAGGTCTGGTCAATCCTAGCAATTCCAGTCGGCAAAATCGACGATTATGTGACGCTTTCGTTCTTTTGCTGAATGCAAACCAGCTATTACAAACGCGTCAGGATTTTGGGTGGATGTTGGCTGCAGTGTGAGACAAAATTTCTGACGTTCTCCCTCTCGGTTTGGGCATATTGCACACGTGTCGCATTCGAAAACGTTTTCAAAAGGGCGAGATAATTACTTAACGATTGACTGCAAGGGCATGGATGGATTGAACAATATTCGGATCGATACGCAATTCACAGACGGCACATTCATCTGCACATCGCGGCAGTTTTAACGCCTGCGTCTCCTCTGGCCGCCAACATCAGTCCTACAGCAGGATACGTCCTTCAAAACAGCCAACAAGGGGGGGGATCCATGTGTTACCCTAGAGTGCATGCAACAACTACGTACATCGACGTAGACTTTGGCTAATACGGTGGCCTTTTCTCTCCTCTGACAGAGATGTTGAGATTTGAACCCAGCCCGACTTGCACATAGTACCCAGCGCTGTTCGCGTTTAACGAAGTATATGTTCCCTATGTGTCAAGAATATAGACGACTACACTTTAACACGCGTCCGGGTGGCCAGTGGATACCCTTCGCTCGGGTCGAGGTCAATTTGACCCTCCTGAGATCTCAGGAACTAATAGAGCTGGACGCCAAATTCGTATGGTGCGTTAGCCTGTACGTGAACTCACTTAGGTCAAAGTTTGAGGTTTATAGATCATGACCTTCGGGTCAAATAAGACTAAACAAGGTCAGACTCCAAGAGGTCTCCAAAGTGCCCCCAGAACCTGGATTCCTGTTGTAGGCAAAAGGTCACATGCTCGTTTAAAGTCAGTGGCCTTGTTGAACCTTTTGAAGGCCATGGTGACCAAAATCATGCGAGACTGCTTGGAGTTTTGCATTGCATAAGCGATAGAGATTACTCTAAGCAGTATGTTCCTAAAATCAAAACGTTGACCTGGGTTATTTTAGATCAGTGACTTACTCTGATCTTTAAAAAGTCCGCGGTAGATGTATGATACGGTTAATGTAATCAAAATATTCGAATGAACACCAGAAACTATCCCATATGGCAAGCTTTGCGAAATGAAGCAGGTTGGTTTTTACCTTGGTCCAACCTTTATAACTGACCCTAGGTCGGTGAAATTTGTTCATTCAACTGTTGTGTTCCCTAAGAAAGTATCTCAGAGATGTATGGCTTCGTCTCACGCTCCGTTGTTGCATCAGATTGAAATATTTCCTAGAAATTGACTGCGCTGAATCCATGGTCTGAATTTGACCTGGTGTAGATCAGCGACCTGACAAGAAACATCTAAATTTTAATACTAACCGATTCGCTATTTTTTGTCTACAGCTATCCAAATTTGGCGTGGCTACGCCGCACTGTTCGGAAACCTTCCGGAAAAAAACCTTCAGGGGGTCAAATTGACTCCCACTCGGGCGCGTGTACAGTCGTCAATGCTAATCTGTCATCATGTCATGACACTGATAGGAGAGTTCGCTTCTGATCGAACCACTCGGATACTAATGCTTGACAACATATACCGCAAACATTTTAAGAGGTGCGTTTCTTGTTGCCGAGAACCGCATGAAATGGCAGCGTGTGGCTGCAATTATTTAAGATTCTGGAAAGATTAACGATCGGGACAGGCCTCACCATGTAAACCTTTACTTCTGTTCAGATCGTGCCGCACTTGGTCTGCAGCCTCACTCAAAGCCACGCTCATGACAGGCAAAAAGAATACACGCATAAACAAGCAAGATGTTTTTGACTATTTCCCAAGTGACGAAATGCTTTAACTTGAAGAAATACAGCCTATGGGGTACCCTGGTTTGAGTGACTCTTATCTAAAGCACCAGACCGACTGTTTTGCGAACCTATCCCCCGCCCCGCGGACAAAGCAGATCCCGGTTCGGCCACGGTGTACTCACCTGGCGCCGGTCATTTGCTTCATGGTGCGCGTCGACTTCCAGAGCTCGGAGATGACTCGCGAGTAGAAGAAGATCATGAGCAGCGCCGGCACGGCGAACAGGACCAGAAACTGGTACACGGCGAACCCGAGCCCCATGGACTCCTTGTCGCGGCAGTAGTGGATGGTCAGCTGCGTCACGTTGTTGCCGAATCTCTCCGGCTGGATGTCCTGCAGAGGGGGTGGGGCGGTGGAACGTGGGGCCGAGCGGGCCAGCCAGCGCTCCGCGGGTACGGGTGGTGAGGCGTGAGATTGCGCGGGACGTACCGCAGCTCTGCACGGTGATAATGGGGGCGTGCGGAGTTGTACCGAATATGGCGCAGAGTATTCTGGAAGTGATGAAGCATGGGGCTGCAGCATAACACAGAGCAGCTAAGTAAAACCTTAAACGAGCAATTTTGAAGAACCGTGCCACTGCAATGAAATAAATGGTTCGCCCATAACAAGCACAGGCTAACGAGCCGGGTATCAATGGTGAGGCGTCGTACGATGATCAGGATACCATAAGAGATGCTGATCGTTGGTAACTCGACATACAAGATCGTAATAAAAATCTGATGTTGACTGACCAGTGGTAGGCGAGCTTAAGCCATTTCGCGTCATGCTAAGTACATAAAATATCGAAGCCGGAAGGAAGCAAGTCTTTTACACCGTTTTCAATCGACTTCAAGAGTACTTGGCGATAAACAAAACCAGCAATTCAATGCCGTCCGAAAAAGCCGGCCATTTGGTCTTACCTTGGTGATGAGTACGGGAGCCGTGAGCACCAGCGACACGCTCCACACCACCACCACCGCCTTCTTGCAGTTGCTCATGGTGCAGAGCGAGCGGGACCTCATCGGGTACACGATCACTATGTACCTGCCACGCCGCAGACAGACGTGTGTTGGAACATTGGATTAACGATCAATACGTGCATTCAGCGCGCACATTGAAATATTAGCTTTGGGATCACAACGTGATTGTTTATTGGCAAACGCTGTTTGATGGCATTTGGGGTTATGGTCCCGATGTACGTGCACCATTTGGGGTTATGGTCCCGATGTACGTGCACCATTTGAGACTGGTAGTGCTAAATTATCGGCTAAACGATCGCGATGTCCCTGACACGTTAGAATCAGCAGCTCGTTTAAACTTGAGTTCGCTATGTCTTCACCATTACAGGCACGTGGTTGTCAGTACATCTGGTGCGCATATATTTTGTACATGTGGCATGCGAGACAATCTGGCGACGGAGATCAGGTGCGAGATCGTTATATATGTGAACCTGCAAACATTTGGTGACAAAATGTATTGGGCTCACATTCACTATGGGCATTCTTTTGTGACAATATCGCGAAGCCGGTGTTGAAGCACCGGGTGTACAATCAATATGGTGTTGAACGTCAGGATCTGGTAGGTAATCGTGTCTGTCAGGGTCTGCCCCATCCTGTGAGTCCACGCCATGTTGAGCCATTCCGAGACGTGCCGCGCTGTGCCGGGCCAACCACTCCAGTCCGGTTCAGTCCACTTCCACCCAGTTCAGTCCAGTTCACTCAAGTCCAGTCCAGTCCACTTAAGTCTGGTCCAGTCCACTTAAGTCCAGTCCAGTCAACTCAAGTCCAATTCAGTCCATTGAAGCCCAGTTTACTTTGATATGAATCAATTAAGTCCCGTCCCGTCCCGTCCCTTCCGGGTAAATATTGCAGTTGATTTTGGAGAGCATAGCTTAAAGTCTTCTTGTCGCACACTTGACACTGAGGAGTCAACTGATAGTACTTTATTTGGTGTGGCCCATGCTGGTATGATGTAGGATTTAGCAGCTACGGGCGGTAGGTAACAGTTGTTAAATGGGCAGTTCTCGGTAATTATGTGACATTTTGAAAAGCTATGACACGTTTTGAACCAAGCGTCGTTTATTCAGTTCTAGAATCAAATTACATGGTTTGGAATTTCAAACAGCATGTACGTCATCCGTACGTACTTGCTTTACGTAAGTAAGCAAGTACATAAGCTTTGGTCGTAAGCGTACGTAAGCTTTGGTCGAAGTGTGTGGGGATATTTTGCTGATTATTCTGCTCTTATTGTGCTTCATAAGCGGATAAGATTTTCTGCATAAGAATCCCGGCCATAGCTGAAAGGGCCTGAATTTGCCAAATTACAGACCTTTGCAACCTCTTACTCGACGCTGATTGGTCAAATTTACTGGCATGGAACTGTGGGGTCGGTTTCCGAATAACTGCCTCGGGCCAAACTTCTGGGAAACGGCAGTTATTATTTTCAAGCTTTAGCTTTGGGCGGGAACCGCCGATAGTTCTAGCATTGATTGTGCAGTGCAGTAGTGTTTAGAACTGCAGTGCTGTTCTTATATTTTTGTATCAGTGCCTGTTACATAATGGATTGGTAAGGACTGATAGCTAGAAACATCTTAAAACGAAGTGGATAGGTTGACCCCATGCTATTCATAAAATATACCGACTGCTATCCTGTTCACGATAAGCCAACGCCTACCAGAGGCTATTTGCTTATTGCAAGTTGTATTCATGCCTAATTTGCTTAATATGCTCAACTGTCGCGTCATGATATAGCAATTTTGTCCAACCACTTGGGATGTGCGAGAACAGGTACATGACAATCGCGCTTTGAGCGTTTTTATGCATTTCCGTAGCTCCATTGGTAGAGGAACGGCCATTGGCATTATGCACGCATATTGCAAAGTTCGTATTACAACCGGATAAAACCAGGTTCTGCCACTTTCTGGTTTTTACCGGTGAAAACTGGCTTAAGCTGGCAAAACCTTATATATATATATATATATATATATATATATATATATATCCAGAAAGCTGCTTTAGCTCAAATGACGAGACGAAACACAGTGATACGTCAAAGGATCAGCACATTTGGTGATTGTTACAAGCAGGACAAAAGTATTTTCTCCTAACGTGGCCTCAGATCATGAACTGTGGTGTGATACCTTAGTAATGCTCCTGCATTACTTTGGTGTGTCACCACCCAGGGCAAGGGTCTTTATGCGACGGTAAGAAAAACATAATGGTGTACATTATGAAATCAACTTGCATACACGTTAATTATATATTATGATGAGCAAAATAAGAACTTATTCAGGTTGGAATGTTTAACCGATACTTCAGAGTCTAAGTACAAGCGCAATTAAGCTCACAACACAGCTTCGTGCTGCATTGCTGCTCTGGTAGGTTCTCTACATGTTTCAAGCAATCATGTTCGGTTACCAGCTGTCTGTTGTTGCCATATGTACCAGCTGTCCGTTGTTGTCATATGTACCAGCCGTCCGTTGTTGCCACATGTACCAGCTGTCCGTTGTTACCTATGTTGACATTCAATGCGAGGCTGTGCGTTTCGATACGTGCCAGATTCCCACCACTGTTAGATCCTAGTTTTGAACAAAGGTTTTATGCGTGTTTTGACATATGTCTTTATCGCATGCACCATCAAGCGCTGAACGCATAATAAGAACATAACCCATCACAAGCCCTGCAGCACAGCCTAAAACCCGGCGTTTTCCGTCAATTATCCAGCGGCAATTCTCATAACCGCAAAGAGAGCAGATATTTTGCATCAAGGAAAACAGCGAAACAACGGTTGCTGCATACGCGCCCAGACAGCACTCAAGCACATAAAACATAAGTGTCCGTAAAATAATTGCACTATGCTTCCAGTGACGCAGCATGATAGGGCATAGTTAAAAAAACAACATTTTTTAAAAAAAGATTTGGTCCGAACTCTTTGAATGGCTGGATTTCAGGGGTCAGAGCTCACCCTTAACAGTGCTTGTGAACCCTGACCACCCGATCGCGCAATTCCATGTCAACGGCATAATTTGGGGACGAAAGCTTTACGTGCGGCAATGCTCGGCACGGTCCGTCCTACCCTCTGACGTCAACTGACCTTCAGCGCGACCGCTGCCACCGGCCGCAGGCCATACCTGTCGAGAGCAAATGGCGAGCGCCCTAAAGCGACTCGAACCCATCCCGCCACGGGTGGGTGGATCGGAAGACAGGCGCTCTAACCAACTGAGCCACTGGAACGGACAAATATTACCATGTATACTACTGTACATGGTATGTATACTATACCATATCACTATGTATACCTCAAATGCCATCTCTTGGCAATGATAGCCAGGGGAGCAGCCAATATTTGCGACGAGAGGGGTTGCCATGATTTACGGCGAAGTAGAAGGGGTGGGGGTGCGGGACATTTTCACGGGCAATTACTAACCCCTTTTAGACCCCACAAACGCGTAAGGTACGGTACCTAAGGCATCCAATAAGCTATCGATGTTGGTTTGCCCTGTTGTCCTTGTCATGACAATAAATGACTGCTGCTGGGCTCGACATGTCACTGCCAATAGTGGCATGTGAGATTAATAGCTTTCCTCATCACCAGATCGCGGAACTATATTCAATGTCGTGTTAAAAAGCGTCGTTCGAACCTTACGGGGGAGGAGGGGGCAAAACACTTACTAGCTGCCCTTTGGCCACGCCACTGATAATGACACGCATCACCCCTAATGGATGCTCCATCTGAAACTTCACCCTAAATTTTTGTAGCACTTCACTCTCCGTGAGCTACGCGTTAACCAGAAACACGAGGCTGTGCCGGCGGGACAACATCCACTCTCGCATCTACATACGCCGCTTCACTCACATCATCATGCCGTCCCTCCCGCCGCGAAAAACTGGAAGCTCGTGATCACGGCGCCATAACTGGCGCATTATCCGCGTTCTAGCTGAATCCCACACTGTCATCGCAACCACTCATCTGGCGACACCGCGGGCAGAGTTCACTAAAGTTCCCTTTGCTGTACTGACCTGGATCATATGGCCTTGCAGTGAACACAGTGTGAATACAAAGATATTTTGAGGAGATATTAAATGAACACTTATGCGGCCTGCCAGCTTTTCGTTTACCCGAAGGCTAGATAAACTTCTAAAGGTAAGCCAGGGCAGCAGTCAGAATATAAAATCGCCCAATTCAAAGTGTATTTTTACCAGCTGTTCTTGAAGCCTGGCGAGGCATAACTTTTTAGCTTAAGCGGATTTTTTCTTCTTTGGCCGTCATATTATCATTTGGAACCGGCAACAGTTTGCCAGTGTAAAGAGAAATAGCCATATAATGTTTAGAATGTACCTACTGCCTTACATTTTGCTTCCAACGCAAAGAGCCAACCAATCAACAGCAACCAACCATACGCATTCATTGACATTCGCAGTACTAAAAGCGTAAAAACGCATAGGTCTGATGCAAATATGCTGCCTCAGTTAGGTTTCAAATATGTGGATGTTACAATACGTGCCGTATGACATCCATCGCATATCATGCCTGTGGATTCTTATGCATTCGGCTAAAATATACCGCCGCACCACCTCAATGAGAAGTCCTCGAAAACACCGGGAAGATAGCATACACCCAATGAATCCCGTGAGTACAAGCTGGCACGGTGCCTTGCTCGTGAGTCCATGCAATTTATCTGGGAGCCATAACGCTTGGGCGCTTCCTCCACCATTCCAAGGTCTAACCAAGATGTCACTTTTACCTACGACTTTGCAGCACGCATTAAAAATAACAGTCCATATAACTGCCATCCACTTTTATGAGGTAGTTATTCGAGACATCAAATCCATCTCATCCTGGATGTGATTATCGCCTAACATTTAATCAGGCTGAAATCCTGTGCGTGAATGAATGCATTGCCAAAATTCTTAGGTCGTAATATTGCCCTTAGCATGGCCGGAAGACACGAAGGGCACGTTTGAATACCATCAGCCTAATCAGACAGCCTTCAGCATGGCACCGCATCTCTAGAGAGTAATTGCTCCGCTCTGATTCCGACAACA